ACACATTGGCCAAAGATTTCGTTATCGACTTAATTGAATGAAACGCAGATCATAATCTCCTACTAACTAAGAGTGACGAATCCTTTATTGGTCAATCACAACCTTAATACGATTCTTGACGTACCCGAACGATGTCGTATTAGCGGCCCTCTGCAGAGCAACATCCAACACCGTCAAAGTATGACTGTCCTCGTATAAGGTACCATGACGATCTCAAGTCTAATGACCAATTCCACTACCGAACGTTAGAGATTAACCACTGACACTCAAATAGTTATCTATATGGAATCTCTCGCCGGGTCTCCAACGTTTTGTTCTATAACAAAATATCCACGTGTCATTTAAGTATCACCACACTTTAACTTATGAGATCAGCTACTTATTTCACAAGTAAGAAATGCCACACGTGATGATCTATCCGTAATAACGATATCCGTATCTCGTTATCACTTACGACCACGGACGATTTAAGATTCAATCAGATGTAATTTGTATCTCACAATCACAACTCCTTGTGATTAACAAATTACGAAGATTTGAATTTACGGACTCTATTATTTATTTAATTGTCTATTAATTAAATAATAGAGTCCGTAGATTCAAATTTTCGTAATTTGTTAATCATAAGGAATTGTGCTATTAATTAAATAATAGATTTGTCATTTAATTACATTAATTATATATAAAAGTATTTATGTCCAAAGTTGATTGGACGTAGAGCATAATACTTACAAAAACCACATGATCCCTTCTATTCAATGCATTCATTGCGATTTTTGTCTTCCATCTTCCATCTGATCTCAAAACCCTGCTGGATGACTTGATCCAACGTTGTAGAATTCAGGAATCTTCCAGCTTCTTATCCATTTCCAGTATTCACAAGTACCGAAACCATTACACTTGCATTGCATTTTCCAGGGCCTTGAGTTCCATCCTAGTGGTCCTTAGAACCTGCGTATTTCTGTCTTAATTATTGTAGTTTCGTTATCACATTCAAGTTTGAGCCTGGGATGACAGCATTCCCGAGGCCCGTTATTTCCTCAAAAAGGGTAATCAATGCCAGTGATTTTCCTCAGTCCAACAGATTTCCACAACTTTTATACTGTTCATTTTCATTACTTGACAGTAGAGTAAAATGAGGGAACAAAAAAGGTACCTTTGCGGAAGCAAATGAAGGAAGATGTAATAAATCCGTATGAAAAAACAGGCAAGTGCATTCAAGAGTGGGATGGTAGCCCTTTTCTTTGACTTCATTCAAACTAAGGGTCAAAATGCATGTCAACTCATCATCTGTCAAACTAACTGTACATGTAGCATAACTCTTTTCATTTATAGCCAATCTTGGTTTAAATAAATAGAGTTACAGTAACTTATCGGTTGTAATGGACATCCATAAAAGATGCAAATTTCAAGAAACAACAGGAAAAGTATAAACTCAAGGCCAGTTTACCATGTAAGTTACGATGATACACAGCCTGCAAATTCATTCACACATCTTATAATATAGCAATACAACTCTTCAGGTGAAGTTCTCTAATTAGCATTTAGGGGTGGGCACACCGCAGGTGCTGGCAACCCTTCTGGCATCGGGAGAGTTAACATACTGACTCAGGCTTGGATCTTTTATATACCCACAAAGGCAAGGCTCCTGCTCCTTCAGCTTGCTGCAGCAGGCATCCGAGGGAGGCAGCGATGTCATTATCGCCCCGGCGCATGAAATCAGCTCCAGCAATTAACCGCCTCGGTCACGTGCAATTCGCCTAGCAACAGAACCGCAACTGCCAAGCAGAGTGCAATATTAGCTGTTTTCTTCATCTTCAAAATGCACAATGGTATGGACTAGAGAAAGAATAATGCAGGAATAGGGAGGATTAGACAGGAAAGTTATGTAATTGATGTAGTTTGGAATGAAGAATTATACTGCAATTTATAGAACAATGGGGCTAATGTTTAGGATAGGTCAATTAGTGTGCATAGGAAAAGGTCCCAATTCAACTAACAGATTAAATTCATGTTTGGTAGGTTATTAATTCAAAATATAAGTGATTACTTCGGTATCAGCGCTTAGGGTACAATCTATCAAGTGTGCCCGGGATGTGGCTCGGGCATTGTAGGTCCGGACGCCTAGCATGAAAGAGCCTTCTCTAATTGTGAGTTCTATAGATTTGTTAACAAGTACAGTCGTGTGGATAAAAAGAATATTTGAGTAAAAGTGATTAAATTATAGGCACCTATTAGTCATGCATTTCCAGGACGTGGTAATTTAGTGTTTCTGTCTCAATTATTGGAGTTTCATTTTCACATTCAAGTCGGTATAATCACGTTCCTTGGGCATGTTTTTTCCCTCAGGAAATATATATGTGAGGAAAAAAATGCACTATAATATATTTTATTAATTACGGAAAGAATAAAACAAGTAATCAAAATTTGCAAATACATAATAACTGATAAAAAGGGCATAGATTTGCAAATCAAGGCCTTTGTATTACACAATGTCATTAAAACAGGTTCGCTCTTTCACCATAAGTGCTTTGTTGAACATATGTCTACGATGATACAACAGAAAAATTAGTAATAACTGAGCACTTAAGTTTCTACACCAATGAACTAAATTTGATTTGAACTATCACCAAAACTCTTGACAGAAAGTGAAAAATTATGAGCAGAAAGAAATTGGAAAAATGAGAATTTTTGTGTTTGAAACAAAGGAAAAAATCAAGGCTCTAATTGGTGATTCAATGGATCGAAAATTCTAAGTGTTAAAATCATTAACAACATCATTAACCGGTGTAATCTTTCCACTAAAAAGCAATAAACACAAGAGTTTCAGAAGTTCGAAAAGTCAATTTGAAGAAAAAAAGAAGGAAATAATGGCAAAACTTCGAACCTTCGAAAGGGCCAATTTCAATTCAACATTCGTGTACGCAGATTGCCTTACACACAAGCTTAAAGGTATAAGGTTCTAATTCAGTTCGTGATTTGCACTACCTGTGCATGCATGTAGAGATAGCCCCTAAGCTATACATGATTACACCACTTTAAAGTGCGATAATAAATTAACTAGTTGTTGCCCTTTAATTTTAATTTTTCTATGTGAGACAAGTTAAAATAGTTTTCTCCTCGATCCACTTTGAGCTCTAATTTCTCCTTCACTCGAACATTTTTGATAAGTAAATATATGATTTCAACGTTCTTAAGGAGTAGAACACAAATAAACTTTGATCTTCCAATATGAACGATTATACCCAAACCAGGCTCATGGAAGCCATTTTCCCAACAATATACATGTCAATCATGAGGACAGAGAGAAAGTGGGGAGGCATGATACGAATTTGATATCACCGCAATAACGAACCCTCCATTGTCGTATTCCTATGCAAAAGAGCTACTAATAATAAAAATCATATGCTCCAGAACTCATTGTACATAGATGTAACATATATCTCAGTAAATCATTTTCAAAACACTATAAGCCCTATATATTTTTCAATATAGTTTCCAACCTCATTCTCTTAAATGTCACATGACCTATGCAGAAGTGACACTGGTACTTCTTCCAAGACTAGTTAGAGTTGGAAATTGGAGAGAGAACCGTATTCGAAAAAAGATCTTAAAAGAGGTAAGTTTCAGATATCAACACACAGTATTAAAAGAAAAGGATAAATCAAAGCCATTTTATGAGATGATTAATGGAGATACGAAGCCAGCAAATCCATTCATCCTTTTCCAATGTAGCACTCTTAACGCTTGAGGTGAAGTTTTCAGATTAGCACATAGGAGCGGGAACACTACAGATGTTAGCAACCCTCCTGGCATTGGGAGAGTTAATATATTATCTCTTTAATACTCACAAAGGCAACGTTCCTGCCCTTCATCCGACGGTGGTAAAGACAACATTATTGCCAACACTCACGAACTCAGCTCCAGCGGGCTGCAATTGATAGCCTCCGTCGCATGTAATTTGCAAACAAAAAGAACCACCACTGCCAAGAAGAATGCAAAACTGGCTGCTTTCTTCATCTTCAAAATGGAGGGTGGCATGGACGACAACAAAGTAATGCAGAAACAGAGAGAGTCGGGCAAGAAAGTTATGCAATTGTTGTATTCTGGAATGAAGAAATGTCCTGCAGTTTATAGAACACTTGGTCAGAAGCTTAAAAGTTGACTCAATGAAGCATGTTTAGGACGTCTCATAAATGATGAGAATTAGATATACATAGAAATGAAGAAAGGGAAACGATGTCAGCACAGCACAAATACAGCCCTCTCAGAAATGTGGGCTTGCGATTGCATGTTTAGGACGTCTTCATAAATGATGAGAATTATATGTACATAGAAATGGATAAAGGGAAATGATATTTGTACAACCTGCGATTATTTCAATTGCAGGCACCACCCCTTTTGTGTGAGAGAATTGACAATCATGCTCTTCAATATGTTGTACCTATAGCACTGCATATGGAGAAATAATCGAATGAGTACCGGTGCTAAGCTTACATTAAGTGCCGTGAATATAATTTTTGGGTCCCTCAAAATGTAAAGATATTTTCAATATTTATAAATCATATATAAACATGAGCTTAACTGATGCTAGGCTGCGTAGGAAAAGGTCCCAGTGGATGAAACAGCCCATTAATGATCCTCGAGCGTTCAATAATAGAGACGATCTGTTGGTAAGCGCAATCAAAACCGGATTAAATGCAAAGTCATACTCTTTACAATCACACACTAGACACGTTTTAAGGATGAGACTGTATCGACCGTTGCTATATGCAAATATATTTTCTCAGCACTCAAAAAAAATAAAATAATAATAATAATAATAAATGAAGAAGATAAGCCCATAGCATCGTTTCACAAAATTCTCTGTCTACCTTGATTCGGTGATTTTTGTAATTGAATGTAAAAACTAGCGACTATTAAAAATAGAATCTGGGCACGGGTGGAAACAACTGCTGGAAGAAAACACTCCCAAGCATTCAGATCTGGAACACATTCCAGTAGAAGAGGCATCTTATACAGATAAAAATAACATAAGTTTTTTCCGTTAAATATGCAAAAATTCTCTCAAATTTTCTTATTTTTTGATTTGTCATTCAGAATCTCAGATGATGCACCATCCTAAAATTTCCAAACTGATGATGGGAAAAGTACAAAAAAACTGCTATGTCGTTACAAAAATTAAAACATAATCAAATTGACCACGGTATTGTTACACGACTGCATTTCCTGTCTTCTTCTTTTCCCATTCCTTCTCAATGGCTAGGGGAATTTTCCTCATTGCTCTTAGTTTTGCCCCGCAGCATATCTGTAAAACCACCCCTCATAATCCGCCTAAATCTCGTGTCTTCAAGTACGGGCTGTGGAGCAGGCTTCGGGGACTCAATTGTCTCTGGTGGTAGCGCTCCTAGTTCATCACTTTCCTTTCTCCCTAGTAACCCACTCTCACCAAAGAAATTGGTAACAGATGATGCAAGCCCAATGTGAGCACCCATCACCTTACTAATGGTATCAAATGTTCCACCCGATCTTTCCCTCAATATTATTTCAAGAGCTTCCTTGTGTGCTGGATCGAGAGCATCAGGGTCTTTCAATAGATTCTGAATCGCTGGTAAAAGGAAATCCCTAACACAAGAAGAAGGAAGGTCTGCAGAAAGAAACAATATCAATAAGTACCAACAGTGTACAACCGCCTAGCAATAAAAGATTTCAGAAAGAAGCAAACCTGTTGCATCAAGAGCCCGAATGGATTCACAAAAGGCATTTGCTCTTTCCCTCCGGCGCAATAAATCATTTGAAGGGGTTGGTGAGGCTGTAAATTGAAAAATCTTGGACAAGAGATGTATGCACAGTTAAAGAAACAAATAATTCACTAGTAGGAAAATGAATGAAAGAAGTGTATTCCTAATTGTTGAAATAAAAACTCAAATGGAAACAAATAAGCACCACCAATAAAAAGGTTCAAGGATATATTCTCGAAGCCTATCTGTTGTATGTGGTACAGCCAAAGTCAGTGCACGAACCACAGCAATGGTAGCTTCAACTGATCCATCTTCAAGAAAAGAGTCCATTTGAATCCGTATCTTGTCAACAATCTAGCAGAAAACATTTTTCAGTCAATTGATATATAAAAGCTCCACCAAGTCAGAAAAACCTTGATTCTAAACATACATACCACGTCACTTTTAAAATGCATTGCTACACCTCCAAAAGCATCGATGCTGGCATATTTTACATTTAGGTTTTGATCAGAACCAAGAGTTACAAGAGCAGGCAATACATGAGTTGAGGCAACCTTTGCATCAATATATGGCACCTAAGAGACCAAGACGTCACAGAGTTAATGACGACCATGAATTTAAAAGGAAATGACTGCTATTTAAAAGTTAAAAGGACTCACAATGACTTTCAAAAAATGGGCTGCTCTGATTTTCAAATTCACGTCAGAACTCACAACCAATTCCCAAAGGATGTTAAATATCATACTATGATGTTCTTCAAAAAGGCTGCATCATGGAAATACTACAAGATAATACACGAATAACAGAAGACGACATAATTTCAATGAATTGAAAAATAATCTGACTACACCAACCAAATAAAGCGGACAGAATTGACAATCTCATGCTTTGCTGGCTGACCTTCCAATCCAGAACTTCGAACCAACAGGTTCCTCAAGTACTGGGTCAATTCCTCGTGCTTGCTTGGGTGTCCTAGCACACCTGCCAGCAGAACTGGGAGGACACACATTGTAGCGAGTCTCTCGGCCACTAAAGTTTGGGGTTTCAAACCTGTCATGATGGAAGAAACAATGCCTATAAGATAGAGCTTTATTCTTAAATACCAGTATTGGTAAATATTCAGAAAACCATTGCCTCTTATTCTTGACTGCACGGTGGATGGGAAGAACTTGAAATCAGCATTTTCACCAACTGCTACCAAGAACACGGGAAGCATGATGTTTGTCAAATAGGTTTCCCCAAACTGTTCAGTTATCGACAGCAAGATCTGCAGAAATTACCAAACCTTGAATATTTCAGAAAATAAAAAAGAAGCATTACAGTTGAAAAGAAAATGAGATGACATGGAAAACAAATCACCAAAATAAAAATCCTAGGGTGACCAAAGTACCTTGGTAATTCTATTTCTTAAATTATCTTCCTTCTGGGGCAATAGAGAAGCCAACCGAATCAAATTGGGATAACATTCAATGTGCAGCCACTCAAAAGTAGGCCATTCCACAAATCCCCTGACCAAAAATTGTTAATATATAAGCGCGAACTGCAAAAAATAAACACTGCTAATCCATAAAAAAATACATTAATAGATGTTCATGGTGAAAGAAGCAGTAAGGAAGACCACTAGATAAGCTTACCCTGCATAGAGTTCAAATAAAGACACAGTAAATGATATTCCTGTGGAATCTGCAACTTCTGATGAAAATGGACAAGTCTTAACAGCTTTCTGGTGAACAAATGGAAGTAGTTCCACAAGCAAGCGCAAAAGAACGTCAACGTTCCAACGTTCTCTTTCACCTAAAACACGAAGTTGTGATTCAACAGAACCTTCAACTCCTGAAAGAGGTGGACAACGCTGGAAGAAACATCATGTCAGACACATATTGTGTAAGAATTACTAGATTAAAGACCACACACACACCTGAGCAGAACCCAAAATATGAGAGAGTAAAACTTGCAGAACATGATCCAGCTCGCTTCCCCAATTTATTAGAGCAGGAACTAATTCTTTAATTGTAGTTTCAACAACTACACCAGATGGATCACAAACCAATTGAAACATCATCTCCTCAACCTATCAACAAACAAGGGAAAAGAATTGGAGAAACCTTTTTTTGTAAGTTATCATATTATGACCAGGGGAAATGCTCCATTCCCTGGATCACGGAGCTTACATTGTATAGAATTCTGTCAAGTCAGATATCTTCTCCATGATTGCCTCGAAGCATATTTAGTGAGGCTGACCTTGAAATATTTGTCAGTATTGGGGAAGAGTGGCAACAACAGGGCCAGATTATGAGCAGCAGCCTCCCGAACCACTACAGCAGAGTCCTCAATGAGCTGTTGCACTATAGATAAGATGAGAGAATCACGGATCTCAGGCCGTACAAATTCTGCAAGCTCACCACATGATTGAGCAACAAGCAGCCGACGTTCTTCATATATGTGATTGATCTACATGCAATTGAATCAGCAATCAGACTATAGTCTTCTCACCTAAAATAGAAGAAATGACAATGCCAGGAAAGTCACAGTCAGTCTTACTTGTTCCCAACATTGGGGCAGCAGTTCTGTTTCTGTTCTCAGCTGTCCGACATTCTTGGCAAGAGTAACACAAGCCTTAAATTATAGAGAAAATTGTCAGAATATGTTGTTGCAAGAGATTAAATTCTAATTTCTTCGCTTTCAGAATCTTACATCCATTATAATTCGTCTCTGGTGATCATCTGGACGCTTGATTAAGTTAAATAATGTATGGGTCAAAGAATCTCGCATGGCACTATCTGGATGGCGCTCAATCGCACACATTATCAGAGGAAGAAGTTCCTATAGTAGAAGAAAACCAATCATATGCATGACCACCATAAGTATAGAAGAACATCAAGAGTTGCAGTAACCTGTAGTCCCAGCAAAACGATATTTTTGGTAAACATACACCAAGATAGAGTGGCAAACCTCTCGATGTTGGATTAAAACATATGGTACAATTTTAGGCAATGAGTCTGAAAGTATCTGAACAGTTCCCAAACCCTGAGAAGGCAATAGTAGTTGTAGATGTTAGTTTGAAGCAAAAACTGCTGGTAAATAGTCACAATTAGAATGTTCTCAAGCATGACAAGTTCTTCCAACCTTTCGAGCATTTGATTCAGCATCGAGATTTTCTGATTTCGAAAATAAGCCACCAGTTTCTGAGGGTGGTTTTCCATTGTGCTTGAGGAAATTTTCAGCTTTTTCAAGAATTGTATTCTCGTCTGAAGAAGTTAATATCTCTCCTGGCACTTTCTCGGGTTTGCTGGTTGTGACATCAGACTCACATTTCCCCATCACTTGAGTATTGGTGCCTAGTAAATCTGCCGATGAGGCATCAACTGTCAATGGCAAAATATTATTTACTTCTGATTTATCAATCTCATCTACTGTCTCTTTACTCCCTTTCTCTTGCTTGATTGACTCTACAGATTCAGTAGACACAAGATGTTTGGCCTTCAACCTCTCTATTTCATTCCGAAGCAGTTGTATTTCTTCAGACTGGTTCTCTAAGGACCACGATTCCCCCTGTACAGAGTCACTTGTCAACAAATTCCGTCCAGAACAAGCTCCTTCTATTTGCATTTTTAGCGAAGTGATTTCAGCTCTACAACCATTTAGTTCTTTCCTTTGACTCTCTAAAGTCTGCTTTAAATCCTGGACCTGAGATACATACAAGATCCTTGTATAAAAATGAGCATGTGAAAACCTGATCCAGGAGAAATGTTCGAAGAAATTACCAGAATTTCTTTATCATTTATTTCTTTTTGTAGCACCTCCAATGATTTTTTCAATGCCATGGCTTGTGCATCAGAAACTCCCTTGCTTTTTAGCAAGGACTGGTTATCATTTTTCAGTCTTTCATTTTCCTTCAGCAAAGGTTCAAGCATACCTATTCTCTCCTGCAGCATATGGCAGCCATCAGCATGAACAATTTGTTGAATTTCACCCATCACAAAAATGAATATGCTACTCGAACCTCTAAGCATTGAACAGTCCTCAGAAACTCAAAGAGAAATGTTTTCAAGCACTTATCCTAAATAATATGTGATATGTCTAGTGCAGTTGCCACAACAGGATGTCCTTCCGCGCTCAACAGTGGGACTGGATCCCAAAATTAAGCACTTTTTGGGATTTCCCCCCTACAATAAGGTTAAAAAAGGGAGGAAAAACTGAAAAATAAAAAGTGCAAAGGCCACGTCAAGTTGCTCTAAGGATCAAGAATCTAATCTCCATTAAAGAATCACTACCTGACAATCTTTTAAACCATTTTTATTCTCTAACATGGGTCTAACTGCTTCAGAATTTTTTAATCCAGGGGACTGAAAATTTACGGAAAATCAGCATCCCGAATCTTAAAAGATATATACTAATATTACATGAAAGACAGACTGTTCAAAATCATCTGAAATTTTGATGATTTGAATTCTGCCAGTTAAATTGATCACCAAGAGTTGATTGCCAACTTCAAAATGAGTTAAAACTAATCAGAAAGCAAAATCCAGAACCAAGTAAGTTGGAAAAACAAAATGATTAACCAAACGATCGAAAAGACAAACAGTATCATTCGAGTCACGGCAGACTACAGCAGCAGTACAAAACAAAAGGCATGGCACAAGTAGGATTGAATCTAATACTTAGGAGTTGAGCACTAATTGCTTCAAATTTATCAAATTGCATCGACTCATCCCTTATCACTTTAAGCAAGAGTGTAAAGTTCCCTTTTCCATGAATATTCAGTAAATACCTCAGCAGCCTCTGTTGTTGATAACAGGTACTTGTAGTAATAACGACGCAGTGCATCTGGAACACGTGCAGATGAGTTTTTCCAGGAATCCAGATTCTGATTTGTGACCTGTTATGCAGGCAAAGAAAATATTACAACAGTTAAACAGTATGTTCATGTGCACATGGAAAACAATATGTTCACCCAAGATAACTATCACTTGAAAAACTTCTTAAAGAGAAGATTATCCAGACAATCAACTAATAAGATGCAGGTGCTCAGCTACTTTTGGATAATGAAGACCAGCACCAGAAAAACATCACACTGAACTGGGCACTAATGGGATGTACAATGTTCCCGAGGAACATACTCTATTTGATAGACTTCTTCATTTGAAAAATGTTATTATAAAGATAGAGCTTAAAATTCCAGTGTTGAATCGACATTACTAAGATCAAGAAAGATAACTTTCAGAAGTTCTATTAAATCAAAGTAACATATTTCCATTTCCAGTGAAAGCAAGGAGAATGTATTTAGCTGATAGGTAAGAAATAATCGCCTGGAAACAGGCAAGTTCTGTGGCAGGTCGTCCGCATATGAAGTGTCATAGATCATTAAGTTTTATTCACCAATTTTTTTCTCATCTTGCCTCGTATACAAAAGCACTTATCTGGTATGTGAAACTTTTCAAATCCTATTATCAGATTATCAGAACTTTGCATCATATTTTCTCAGTCAAAGTGCATAAGTTGCTTCTGCTATAGCAGAGCAGCTTCTTGTGAATAACATACTTTAGACACCAACTACTAGATAGGGCATGGCAGAGAGAGATAGAATTAAATACAACACATGGACTAAAGAGCAAAAAGTAAGAACTCAACTGCAGGCAACAGAAATCAGAAGGAAATAACAAGATTCTTTGCTTTAAGCACCTCTTCATAAAATGTCATGGCAGTCAAGCGGTATCCTGCTAAAAGTAAATATTCCTTTACTGCGCAGTTCAGATCCTGTCGTTCACTGCCCTTCAGGGGTCCCAAATCTGAGAAAGCAATGTCCTTCTGTGGTTGTAAATCTGGTTCATGATTTGCAGAAGCATCTATCTTCGACTCTGTGAAATAGATTTGGGCATATAAATACACAAAAAGGAATAAAAAATAATCTCAATATTTGACAAGACTAGGCAAGTGAAAACTACAAAAACTGAAGTATTAGCAAAACCTATAGAACTTATAATATGATCTCATATTGGGGAAAGGACGTCTGAAAGCATATCTTATCACCCCTGTCTATTGGATTTTAGAGAAAGCATCTAGTAATTCACACAAAAACCTATGAATTTGTAAAATAATAGCATGAGGAATACTGGTTTAAACCATAAGACACATTGTACAGTTTCAGTAAATTACCATGTGACTCATCCAAGCTGATCTCAATTTTCTTCTGTGTCTCAGTCCTGAGTTTAAGAAGATCTTCTCGAGCTAAACGAAGCTCATATTCACTGATTGCCAATTTTTCTTCTAGTGATTCTTTTTCTTCAAGTAGACTCTGGGGGTCCGCAACTGTTCCAACCAAACAAAAAGCAAGAATTTTTTGTTAGTTGGTTACACGTGATATCACACAACTCACAAAATTCAGAAATTTCAAACAAGAAGAATTACAAGATTTAATTTAGCAGCTAACAGTTGTACCATCAAGTGTAAAGTGTCGACTAATACTATGCCACAAGTTTTGAGATGAAAAATGGAGCTGTGAAAATAAATTGGCCACTTAAACCCACAAATAATGACTGAAACAATATTCAGTGAATGGAATACTTGGCATCTTATGAAATTTTAACTTTATCCTCATCTCAGGTTTCCTGTGAAGCACAGACCCTCCAAATAGGGCACAATGTCCATGTCTCACATGTGTATCCAACGCACATGGGAAGTAATGTTTATATATTTTTAAATTAGGAACTCCTTGAGTCTAAATCATTTGACTAATAAGGATATCGAGTTTTTAAGTTGGTGGATTGCCACATCACGCATACAACTGACTTTTAATATATTGTTCGCTGATAAAATGCTAATGCTTTCCTCAAACTGCTTTCTCTCCTTCCCATTTATCATTAAATCTGGTAAATAATTAACAAAATTTGAAATGTTACAAGGAATAAAAGCCCTGAGCACATATCTGCAAGCAACAAAATTACTGTCAAAACTCAATTTCAAGTTAAAAAATGTATTTGCTTTTAGTTATAGGCTTCAAAATAGTATTTCTAGCTTAATCTCAGTAATGTTGAAATACATAGTAACACATTGGCATGCTCCATTAGGCTCAAGAATATGCTTCTAAGCATCTTGATAAAATACTAAAAGAATACATTCTTTTTGGATCAAATTTTCTTTATCAATCATGGTGGTTTCTCTAACTCCTTAATTCTGGAACTTATGTGAGATTACTTAAATTTGGTGATTGAACCATAACGTGACACTTTCCTCGTGTATTAATTGAATCTTTTCTTTGTCCTTTTTTTCTGAGTCTTCAATCATCTTTATGTGCCGTCAAAAGTTAAAGCTGGTTCCACAATAGTTTCATACACTGTAATACAAATCCTAACAAATGAGAAATGTGCAGCCTTCTTTATTTTCATGAAATTAATTACTATTTAGTATCGATTAATTGTCAGCTCAACACCAGAGCAAATGTCGGAAACACTTGCACTACCATTAAACCATCAATCTACACCGAAACCAATAAAGCAGTTAGATCTATCGACAATGTTGTTTAACAATAATAATAATAACAACAACAACAACAGAGAAAACAAGACATTCCTAAATTTTGTCATCGGACAAAACTATATCAAACCACAAGTAGATTATTAGAGAAAATCACATTAACGTAATCAAATAACACCACGAATTTTGTTTTACCATCAGAATGAGTCAGTGCTTGCACTAACATGATGGAAAAAAAAAAAAAAAAACACACACACACACACACGGAAAGAGATAGATAGATAGAGAGTATGCAAATGTGAGGCAGTATACCTCGAAGGGAGTTGAAGCGAGAGATCTGATCGGGAGGGAATTGAGATGGATCGGAAAAGTATTCCTTGAGGCGGATGGCCTGATCGTCGCGTCCGTCGTCGAGCAGCTCGTGGAGAAGCTCGAACGCCGACAGCAAGTAATTTTCTTCCAACAAGAAATTAACGACGCAATTGCACAGCGACGATCTCTCCACGTCCATTTCAAATTCTGAATATCAATTCGATTCACAATTGAACCCAGTACATTCTGATTTTAGGTTCTCGCGAGATCTATTCAGCGTGGAATTACGAACAGGGCAGAGTAAGAAATTTTCAATACGGGAGAATCGTCTCGTAAATTTATGACACCGGAGAGGTTGCGATTGTGATTGGGTGCTACGTGGGTACATGGGTTATGACCGACATTTAAATTTGTGATCAGATCAGAACTCACATGGTCAACGCTTGTGATTGTAAAGTTGCACCACAGAACGGTATATTTTACTGAAATATTGAAAATTCCCAGATAGTTGAATGGGGAGCTCATATCCAATTACCCTTGAGAAAATTTTACGATTTAGCCCTGTTTGATATCAATTTTCCACCTTAAAAAATTAAATTTTTTTTACCATTATTTTATTATTTCAACTGTTATTTTTTACTTTTCCATTCACAAGTGGAACCCACTTTTGTCGAAAAAAATCAATCATTCAAATAGCCCTTAATTAAAGTTTGACATGCAATTTTTGCAAATTGATTTAAGAAAATCATAATTGTAAATTAAGCCCCAGTTTGACAACCATTATTAAAAAAAAAAAAAAAAAAAGATATTTCAAATAGTGAATTTTTAGAGAATAAAAGTATGAAAAAGTTTTGAATTTACACACAATTTTTTTTTTTTTTTTGGTGTAAATATGTAGTTGAAAATGAGCACTTAAAATAAAGAGTTTTCAAATAATAGTTGTCAAATAGAGCTTAAGTTAAAAGTAAAATACAAGTTTAATCATGAATTACTTAAAAACATCTCATATCAGATAGAAGGAATCCAAGATGGCAAGAAAACTTTTTATCTAAAGTTTTTCACGTTTTAAAAGATGGTTCCAAGTGTGCATTGTCTTGGTTCCAACAACTAATTGCGATTTATCATTTTTGTTTTTCATAGTTTAAATTTCTGTAGTATTCCAATCCCTTGCCCCAGAAAATACAATGTTTTGAATTGGAAAAAATAAGAACACAAACATGTTGCTCACCTTTGTTGCTAAATACTTTTCGAATCTGCTTCAATTCATCACAATCAGAAGTATGCTATAAGCATATAAAAACATTGTCTTCTCCTTATTTATTTCCGATTTTTGGACTATGAAGCAAATTTTGATGGTCGAACGCCCTTGAATTGGCAATGTCGACTAGTTTTGCTGGTTTGACGAATATCTTTCCTTCATAATCATGATTACATTATAGGCCTGTTTCTTTCGAGGTTATGAAACTACATTTGAATAGAGTGAATAATTTTCTAAAAATATTGTTCGATTAAAATACATTTTAAAAATGCAGATCTTTTGTGACCTCTTTAGGAAGCTTTTCTACTAAAGGAAAGAAAAAGCTATACCAAACAAGACCTGGATTACGATAAGATTTTGGGTTCAAAACTTCAATTAGATGTTGCTATGATATTAACTTTGAATCTATAATAAAGGCATTCATCGCGTAATACAGTCAATGATGGATGAAATACTGTAAATAAGTGCGTCTTACCATTGAACTTAGGATTTTAAGGGGAAAACATGGAGAAAATTTGAAGTTGCAACAATTTGGACATTCCGAAGAATTACTAGCATGCTTTTATTGATTGATAACAATTTCAAGGTATCACCCAAATGTTGAAGTTGAATCCATAAACATTTCTGTAAAATTTGGAATCTCATATTCTTAAAGTACATAAAGAAGAAGAAGATAAGAGGAAATAAAGAACCCATATAAATAATAAATAAATGAACAAATGGTCCAAAACACAGATTATTTGTACGCAGTTCAGACAAACTGAATCAAACCAAGCAGAGAACATCAAGAAATTGACATCAAATCACCAGTTTATTGAAAACACCTAGAATAGTTTTGTCAAGATTTGAATGACAAAAGGTGAAACCTCCATAATTTTCTCTCCCTTCAAAAATGACACCAAAGTTCCTCACTCCTTTTTTTCACACAAGAAAAAAACTGCACTCCAAATTATCTTGTTTCATGCTCAATCATTTCTTAGAAGTGAAGGTATTCAGTTTTATCTTTCAGATGAAACTACTGAATACACTTGAACACCGAAATATTCCAGTGTGCCTCATCACTTGACATGTGTGAGACTTCTATGGAAGCACAAGCTCAAATGCAATATTGTGAAGAATTGAATAAATCGTGTGCAACAGAAATAAATCAAACCAGATCCCTAGAATGCCATAGAGTTGCACAAAAAGAGAATTTTTCTTACATTGAAACCTGCAGTTTAATGGCCCTGGGAGTTTATCTTAATCAGTTTATGATCATTCACAAGATTCGTAGGGGCACAACCTCTAGAAAGCGAAAAAGCTCTCCACAAAGAGACGAGGGACAAACAAGTGCAGAAATGTGATTGTGTAATTTCTCTTGCTTGAACAATAAGAAACACGCAGTTCAATCTGGCTATTGGTCCATCTTGGGATAGAAGGCAGGCTAACTATGAAAATGAAGTAAATGTTTCAAGAATTTCCAAGTCTTTTTAAAATTCTGATGTAGTTTTCTTCGTAAAGGAGTAGAAAGGAGTCGTGGGAAGTATTTTAACCTCACATAAGCATCAATTCTCATCAAATTGATGGGGTAGTAATTTACCATGTCAATAAAATTGTTGACCTCTTTTTCAAGTAAAATGTGATTCGTAGAGTTCTGAATACAATCTTGACCAAATGCTTCTAAGAGAGTAGTCATTTCACTGGTAGAAAATCATCAATACCTAGGACGTTCATCCATGTTATGAAATTCAGTTGAATTACTCATTTATAATTTAAATATGAACCCCAAACCAACTGGAAATTGATAAACAATATAAATAGATAGATAAATAAACACACAGGGAGAGAGAGCACTCCTACAAAATTTTCTCCTTCGTTAATAGCATCATTAATTATGCATTGCAGGCTGATGCTTAGAAGTGTTTGGCTGTCGCTGGACTGAAGACTCTGAAAACAACACAGTTGCACCTTTTGTCAAGGTATCATACAGAGGAGGCAACACAGGTGCTGAAGGTTGAGTTTTGTATATTGAGCTGTATGCAATATCATCCTCAAATTCATTGTCATGAGTCATAGTGGCCGCTGTAGTAGGTGTAACTAACTCAGAAGAATTTGGTGGCTCAGGACGCCCAATCAACTGTTGAGAAGATATACTAACTGGTGTTGCAGCAACATGACCACTAATGCAAACTTTTGTTGATGATTCAGCTACGTGTTGTGTAGCCAAGAGCTCTGTATGAGCAACAGGTTGAGTTGGATGCAGAGTAGGACGACTCAATGCGCTACTAGCAGCATCAACAAAGTTATACGGCACAGACATATTATGATATTGTGTTGGTCTTACAGGCATTAAATATATTGGGTACGACTGATTAGGTGGATAAATGATGTGCTGCTGCTGGTGAATTGGCATCTGATACACTGGATAATAAGGTGAGATTGTATTTGGGGTTGTAGCATATTGTGGTATGTAATTAACAGCTCCATGAATATACCGCATCTCAGGTTGGAGCTGATTTTCATCTGGCTGATGAGATAATGAATGCCCAAGTATCTGAGTTGTTTGCTGAGTCTCAATTGCTGATGTAACAGAGGAAATAACACCATCCGATTCAATTGGGTTCGACAATGTCCCTGAAGTAACTTGAATAAGTGGTTCTTGAAACATTCCAGTTTTCAGTTGATAAGCAGCACTTCCAATACTATTATCACTGTAAAAGCCATAAATACCAACTGATCGAAAAATCTTTCACATTGTATTGAATTATCTCATAAATATACAGCTGATCCTTCTAAAAAAGATAAAATGGCTTAAAAGGCAGAAACAAATCATTTTTGTCCAATTATCTAAATTCTATGTTCAATATTAAAATCTTGAAAATGAAAATTTGTATCTAATTACTTCATCAATTGCAAAGAGCTAAAGAACATTTGATATGGCAGTATCAACATTTGATTGGCTAGAGTTAGCAGGCAAAGCAATCAGCAAGTTACAATTATCAGGTTCCTAAAATCAAAGATTAACAAAACCAATGACTAAAATAAGCTCAAAACATTCATTAATTCAGCATTTCGCCAGCAATAGAAAAACATAGTAGTGAAATTTATACACCAAGCGTAACTAGAGCATTCAATGATTAAGTACCTTTCAATTGAGGCCGATGATGGCACTCGGATCTTCTTGTCCTGCAAATTCAGTCCATTCTCATCACAGTAAACAGCCCCAGTAGGCGGCAAATTTGACATTGAAATGGAAGAACTAGAGGAACCAAAAGATGAATTCGTCTCCAAAACCAATGACTCGGCCCCATGCTTACTCTCAAAACCACCACCACCATTGTTGCTCCCACTCTCCAATTGGGCCTCTAAATCGGACCCACCCAAAAGGCCCAGGTCCATCAACAAACCCGTATCCACAGCAGACTCACCCTTCTCCCGGATCCTTGTACTCTTCAAAGCATCAGAAAACCAAGATTCCGATTTTGGATCGAGAAGGGAAGATTCCAGGGACTCGGGTTTAATTGGGAAGAGGAATAATCTGAGACGGGGCGGCATAGGACAAGAATGATTAATCCGATCGTGTTCTTCGAGCATATTGAAGAAATCTTCATCTGTCGTAACAGAAATTAAGGAGTCAAAGTCCTCGTTGGGCAATTGGTACTTGAGGGTGAAGGGGCAATTGTTATAGAGAGTACGGGACAGGTGGGATGTGAGAGCAGAAAGGGAAGATGCTGTGGTGCGGCGGTCAAGGGCGACGATACGGGTCTCGCCGCCAGCGTAGAAAAGGGAAGACTTGTTGTTGGGGCGGGGAATAATGTGTCCACCGTAGCTACACATGAGGCGGAGTTTTGTCGCGATGGTGGAAGATAGAGACGGACATGAATGAGGCGACGTTGGGGTAGCGGCGGGTGGCGGTTGTGGTGGGTCCATTGGGCGGCGCTGGTGGAGATCTGGGGACTGGCAGTGGAAAATATGAGCTGGGGGTAAGTAGAATTATATAGGATATTGTGCCTCTGCCGGTAATTCCGCTCTATAGATTTTACTCAAAGCAGGAACGTAAAAGTCAACAAACTTATGGGAAATAGTTTTTTATTTGGTAATTTCTTCTGTAAATTAACATTGTAATCAAACATTAATTGTAAATTAACCCATCGATTGCCAGCGTGCAATGAATTGTTGCTTTTCACATAAAAATGGAAAGTGAAAAATAGATTCATTTTCAATTAAAAAAAATT